TTATTACCCACCAAAGTCATATATCGTTTCTACGTACATGCAAGTCGAATAGAGTGATACCTATAGGTCTTCAAGCTGACAACATCCTTACGCACACAACGAACTCACATCTAGCATGCCAAGTTAGCCCAGAAACACAGCAGACAGTGGCTACAATTAGCCATCAATGAACAGTATAACCGTCTGTCGAAGATCCGGTGCTGTATTTTCCCGTTGAACTATCAAGAAGATCAACTAATTAGTAATATCCAAACCTCGCTCGACCAAATAAAACAACGCAAATTCAATCAACTGCTTGCTCCACGACGTACTACCAATCACCTAACCATAAACAAACCACAGGGATTTAAAAACATGTCAACGGAACATCTAGAACCCCAGCTAACTAACATCTTGCATAATGGCCCTTCATTCGTAAATGCTGAACCGAAGGAATTACCGAAACGTTGCTTATTGTCCAAGGCGAGTTTGCAACGAGCGACCGGTCGACTTAAAGAAGAATACATTCCCGAAAGTGCCCTAAACGAGTTAACTGGCGGAATGACTCGTATCATAGAGGAATGCGAAAAAGTCGGTGCTAAAATTCTCAAGTCGAAAAAACTATCATACAAGAAATCTCCGGAGAACATTGTTATCACATCTACTGAGAAGACAAAACGACTAGTCGCCCTTGATTCCACCTGCTATAAAGATATGCTTCAGAAATCTACTGTCGACACAGGAAATTATCAATCACTAAAGAAATCTAACCTACCTCGCACAGAGCAAATCAAGTTTAACGGTAAACTGAACAATATTGCTAATAAATACAAGTATAGCAACCCTACTCTTCACAAACAATTAAAATCTACCGTTTATAGCGAGCCGCTCCCTTGTTCTGTTTACTGCCTACCTCAGGATCACAAAGAAGGCGAGCTTAAGGGCAGACCTATACATGCGGCAACTGATACACCAGCAATTTGTTTGGCTAAATACCTTTCTAAACCTTTAAACACACTTTTACAACATGTGCCTGCTCATCTCAAAATCACTCGAGAATTTGTTGATTATCTTATGACCATAGAAGGTGAAACAGTGCATCAATTTTGTAGTCTTGACGTTTCTAATTTATATGGTTCAATACCGTTGGAGGACATTAATACTAAAACACTAGGAGTTTTTACTGTTGTCAAGAAATTCTTTTCCAAATATAAAACAGACTGTCAATTGTGGGCATTAAGTGATGACGATTTTGAAGCACTCATTCGTTTATGTATATCTAGTGACACGGTACTAATTGGAGGTAAGGCTTACAAACAGCAATCAGGTTTAGCTATGGGCAACAACTTAGCTCCAACTCTAGCCATAATATACATGAATGAAATCGATTCTCTTATCATTGAGAAAACAAACGGTCGTGTCAGCCTTAAAAGATACATTGATGATTACTTTGCTTCCCTATTTTCTAAAGAAATTACCGCCGAAGAACTTTTAAAGATAGCTAATGACCAAAATGATGCAATAAAATTTACACTGGAACTACCCAATAACAACCAATTGCCATTTCTCGACACATTAGTAACTTTTAATTCGGATACCAAAACGTTTTCTACATCCCTGTATAGGAAACCCATACACAGTGGTTGTATTATACCCTGGGCCAGCCACGGCTCGATAGCATCAAAAAGAGCGATACTTATTGGCGAAATCAAGCGAGCCATCTATTGCTCTTCCAATCAACAAGCTCGAAGGAAATCGTTAAGCACAGTGACGGAATTGTTTTTAAACAATGGGTACCCCAGAGAAATGATACGAACGACCATTCGAAATGCGTCACGTGTAACTACCACCACACGAAATGAAGACGACGAACAACAGAAAACTATTTACATTAAAATGCCCTTCATTAATGAAGAACTTAAACGACGGGCATTGGGTGTCGTACGCCGTTCAGGTATAGCAAACATTAAAATTTATTTTGAGAATGGCAGACCATTAGCTAAAGTGTTCGCACCACCAAGAAATAAACCAAATTGTCCTGACAAATGCGTAACGTGTAAATTAGCATCGAAGCGTAACCAGTGCTTAGCGAAGAATGTGGTCTACCAAATTACATGCACGACCTGCGATATTATATACATCGGCGAGACAGGAAGGACAATAGGCCAAAGAGTTAAAGAACACTTATCAATGGATAAGCAGACCGTATACAGACACATAATTTCCCACAATCAGAGACCTGCATGAGGACGCTAAAATAAGTTGGAAACTTTTACACACACATATCCGCAACCAAGAGGAGCGAAGGTACATTAAAGCAGTCGAGATACGAAACAATGCTGACAAAATTATGAATGGCTGTACTGGGAGAACACTTTTATACAATTAGTGTTTTAATTTTCTTAAATCTTGTATATATAATTAATTTTAATTTTTTTAATCCTGTACATGTAATCAAGACAGTCGTTTTATCTCTAATTAGTTTTATATATTGTAATTTTGGCTATTGAGTATTGACGGACTTGCATATATATAGGGACATTATATGACTTTAACTAGTTTCCCACTGAAGAAGCCTTGATCGGCGAAACGTTTGGGATTTTAAAACTTTATTTTACGAATAAAAGTTTTTACTTTGTATGTCTGAAGAAAAGTTCAACAAAACCACAAAAATATATATATATATACATATATATATATATATATATATATATATATATATATATATATATATATATATATATATATATATATATATATATATATATATATATATATATATATAAGCGCAGTCGGTGAGGACGTTAAAGTATATTTAAGATATAGAGGGTTTCAAAACTCTGCAGTTTTCAACTTTTAAGTATATTGGAGACATAGAGGGTTTCAAAAGTATCAGAATTTCTGATACTTTAGATCAATATGGAGTCCGCAATTTTAAGAACATTTTAGATATAGATGGTTTCAAATTTTAAAGTATCAGAAATTCTGATACTTTTAGAGTTCTAGGTATATTTAGAAAATTGTATGTTTCAATTGGAGCATCTCATTGTCTTTAAAAATTTATGCTGCTTAATAAGGTGTATCTATATCTCCGTGCTGCCAAGATAATTTATCATAATTCGCTTATTCGTTATTTTTTGCTAGTCCGTATCCTCTATTTTTGCAGAAAAAATTGATGGTCAGCAAGATTTTTTGAAAATGATTGTTTTATGTTCACGGATTTTCTATGAAAACAGTTTCCGCGCTTTAAGCGTGATTTTGCATATTGCTTTTCTCTTAAATATAATTTCTTTCGACTTAGCTAGCCTATTTTGCATCTGCAATTTTAAGGATATTTGAGAAATAGAGGGTTTCAAAATTATCAGAATTTTTGGTACTTTTAGAGTTTTAGGTATATTTCGGAAATTGTATATTTCAATTGAAGCATCTCATTGTCTTAATAAGGTGCATCTATATATCTTCGCATTTCCAAGATAATGAAATATACGTATTAGTTATCAGTATGTAGGTGCACCTTTTTTGAAAATCATTACGTTAAAAAGTAATTCCATCACTTTACAGTTTTTGCTTGTTTTTTATAATTATGTTCATATAATCGTGATGGATGCTGCTTTAAGCTAATGATGTATCATATACACAAGCAGGAATTTATTATAGCTAGTTAATTGTAACACGTTTAAAATATAACCTAAATTTAGTATAACCATTGGTATAATTAATACATATATGTCGGTTTCGGTATCCGCTTAGAACCCAATTATACAGCTTGAAACAGACACAAACACTTTGTGTTTTCCACCCCACCCCCCGATTCTGGACCAGGTCTTTAGATCTGTTGACATAACTTCGTTATACATTGTTTTTTGTTCGATTACTCAAATACAACACGGTTACGCACGTAAATGGCCCCCAACTGCGACAGATTATGTCAACGCATCCTCCGTTGTAACTAGTGACTGGCCATATACTTCCTTATCGATGTTAAACGCGATTCCCTTTCTAATTAACTAATAGTATATAAATTGCAAAATTGTAAAGTAAAACCTAAATTTCAAACCATTAGTATAATTAATATATACATGTTGGTTGTACGTACGCTATCTGCTAAGAAACGAATCAAAATTCGTTACGTATACTGCATAGATTTTAAATCACAGCTTGAACAGACACATGTGCTTTACGCGCTATACATAATAATTGATTAACATAACTACGTTATATGTACATTGTTTGTTGTTCGATCACAATTATAACACTGTTACATTCTTAAACGGCGCCCCCTCGCCCCTCTTGAGTTTTCGTCCCCGTATTTACTGTATGTTATTTAATTTATGTATGCGAGTAGAATCCGTATAACAATATAGATCACAATCATCTATCTGTTCTACTGCATGGACACATAATTACAAGCAGTATTTCAACGTGCGCCATAGGCAATTCCAGCAATTAATTTATGCGTGCAGGGGGTTACGGGAAGTAAGGTATCATATTGCTGATTATGTTGAAAAATTTTAATAATAACTGCCGAAACAACCGCTAATATTTTAATTACTTACAAGTATAAGCTATCATTCCGTGTTTACACGGCCACCATTGTTATTTTTTTCAGCATTATCAGCAATATGATACCTTACTTTCCACCGCCCACTTCACGCATAAACTAAAAGCTGGAATTGCCTATTTGCCGCTCAACGTGGGTAATATGTTTTGCACGCGTTTTAGTTATGCATGGTCATGATCTTACAAATCTCGTGCATCAGGATTGTTTGAAGTTTGACAGGTTGTACAAATAACACGCACGATGATGCACCTTGGTTATTATATTTACCTGAGCGTATTAATTAACAATTATTGGATGAGGCTGAGCAGGATATCCAGAATTATTTAGACCGAGGTCAATGTTATCTTGCTAAGCCGAAGGCTGCGGCAGATAACATTGACCGAGGTCTAAATAATTCTGGTATCCTGCGCAAGCCGAATTCAATAATTGTTTCATTATTCATTTTGTGACAGAAAGAAAACAAAACAAGCAACAATTGAAAACAAATAGATATTCATTGAATTGATTAACTTTTCGTAAATATAAATATTGAAAACCTCTCTTGCCAGTTTAGTACTTTTTTGGTGTTCTCTGAGTCCTTGTTTTCGACGATTTTTTCAATTTCCTGCGTTGAAAACGTTGCGAAACGAGCACTAGCCATTGTAAACAATTGAAATAGCCGCTCAACTAAAAATTTCCCACCAATTTGTATTTTCACATAAAATACCGCTGAAATATCTCGGGCGCCGTCCAATAACCTCTGCAGATTACTGTTTCCGCTGGAAATAGCGCTGGCACCTACAAATACCCAAAATTATTTGTAGGCTCTTGGCCAATGAAAAACCGAGAACACAGTACAATAAATAATAATATATTTAATCTGCACGACTGCAATGAAAATGTTTCTTTTACGAAGACATATATCAATCACACTTTTCTTTGTTTTGTTATTTTTTAATCTTGTTCTGTTATTTTTTAATCTTGTTCTGTTAGGTTTACCAATATAACAAGACGATTTTCCCCTTAATATATGGAATGAAGTATAATCTGAGGGTAAGTACCATGCTTACGATGTTATCACATGCGCCTGTGATTCTATTCGAGCACAGGATTGTGTACTTTATCTTAGATTCACATGAGGCCTCTTGCAATGTTGTTATTTTAAATTCTCCATTTATAAAAGGTTTGACCTACTAAATTGTCATTTACTCGTTCACATGCAGTGCCAGTTGTATCTTGATATTGAATCTCAAAGATGCGGTACAGTCCGTATAAACAAAGGCTTTGTTTACATTTCGGTATCAAAATTAGAGAATTTTATTCGACAACTATTTATATTTTCATGATTCCAGAGTATATTTAATTATCAAGACACAACAAACTTTGCAAGAACATAAAATAAAATAAAAACCAAATAAACTGTTTGTATAATAAAAATAGGGCTCCTTTGTGCACATGCGCAGATCGGTCTGTACAGCGTCTTTAAGATTGACGTTCACAGCAAATCGCTAACAAAGTTTTTTGATTTGGCAACTCTATTATACTAGCTTTTACACCAGTTTTTTGCCGTGTATACGGATGAAACAGACTATTGTGGGTTTTTTGAGGTAAACAAAAAAAAAAAAATAAAACAAAAAACTATATTACGCTCTATCTATATGGTATTGAGCACTGTTTGTGTTTCGTAAACCAAAAACTTAAGATTTTATTAGTTTATTTTATCTTTATCTATATTAGCTCTATACTTCGGTATATCGAGCACTCTACTCATATATGATTCTAAATACATATTTGGTATATATATATATATATATATATATATATATATATATATATATATATATATATATATATATATATATATATATATATATATATATATATATTAGTGCCGAAACGACGGCAGGACACGAGCGGGGATCAAAGTGCAAAGGGGTGTTATAAATGTGGAAAGAAGTGCGACTTTTGCAACATCTACATGCATGAGTCTAGTACATTTGTCAGTAGTCAGACGGGGGTAAAGTACCCAATTAAACAGAACATTTGTTGCAATTCTCAAAACGTTGTGTACCTAGTTACATGTATTAAGTGCTCACGGCAATACATTGGATCCACGAGCACAGAACTGAAGGTCCACTTTCGCAACCACAAATCCACGACGATTAACAATAAAAGGACATGTGAAGTAGCGACGCATTTCAACAAAACACCGCATGATTTGTCTGACTTGAAGTTAATAGGTATAGAACAAATAGTAAATGACAGTGATTCAAACACTATTGAGAAGCGATTGTTGACAAGAGAAGCATACTGGAGTGCGCAGTTATGCACTTTAAAACCTTACGATCTCAATAAGAGATGTGAATTCAGGTCGAAGAACAGAATA